ACCCTGCAGGGGGCGCCAGAGAGCAGGCTGGGCTTGCCTGAAGTCTGCGAGCCCGGTTGAGCAGGGGTTGGACACCTCATTGCAGTTAGGAGCCTGGGGGCTGAGGCTGCCCAGGAAATTGGAAGATTCTGGGTTAAAAAAAGTCGGTTATTTGTTCGTGATAGCAGCTGACACCTGTGCAGGGTACCTATTTTATACCCCAATTGCTATTGTCAGCACTTTATCTGTTTAAGTATATTCTATATATTAAATCAATGTATCCTCTCGGTAAACTTCTGAGATAGAGAAGTATTGTCTCTCTTTTACAGATGAGCAAACTGAGTTAGAAAGAGGCTATGGATCTTGCCTGAGATCACTCAGCTAGTTAAGTGGCAGAGCCAAGATTCAAACCCAGGCGATCTAGTTTTTAAGCGCTCTACTATAGCACCCAAAGGATTTAAAGAGCATCTAAGATTGAAGCCTCGTCGACATCACTTACATTTGGTGTCATCAATTTTTGTTCCACATGCTTTCTTTCTATTTGCATTTTCTAAGACAATGCCATGCACTGATGGGAAGCAGGCCCATGTAGATTGGGAAACCCTCACAGCCTCGAGAAGTGTCCTGGAACATGTATATCTGGCTGTCGGAGGGTGGTTCTGATTTGTGTCTTCTTTCATGGTCGCCCAAAGCACCCATGAAATTCCTTAGCCTGCATGTTCCAGAACACACCATGCACCCATAGGCACATGCACCAGCCTAACGACTGGAAGCCACGGCAGAGGTGAGCGTGCCAGCCCTGGGGCTTGACCTTGGCAGCTCAGGGATGGTGCAGGCCGCAGAAGTCAGGGTGAGGCGGGCAGGATGGCCTCCCCTAAAGACACCTTCCATCTTCTCAGTCTTCTGATCTTTTGTTTTGCTTTAAGATTCTTTTTTTAAAATTGATTTTAGAGAGAGAAGAAAGGAGAGAGAGAAACGTCGATTTGTTGTTCCACTTATTGATGCACTCATTGGTTGATTCTTGTATGTGCCCTGCCCGGGGATTGAACCCACAACCTTGGCATATCGGGATGATGTTCCAACCAACTGAGCTAACCGGCCTGGGCTGCTTTAATATTCTATACCTCTGAGTGCCTCTGATAACCACAAGCAAATGTCTGTTCGTGAAGCCTCCCTCCTCCCAAAGCTGGGACAGACCCTGGGGCAAATCTGGCTTTGCTCTCCTTGGGTACCTCTTGGTAGCTCAGCAATAACTCTCCATGGACAGGACGCAACCAGGTCTGGCCACCTCCACCATCACAGCCACATCCAGCACCTGCCTCCTACCTTGACTTGTCCTGCGCATCTTAATGACAAGCCAGCACCCTGTTGAGCCCCTGCCATGACCCAGTCAGCAANCAGGACGCAACCAGGTCTGGCCACCTCCACCATCACAGCCACATCCAGCACCTGCCTCCTACCTTGACTTGTCCTGCGCATCTTAATGACAAACCAGCACCCCTTTTGAGCCCCTGCCATGACCCAGTCAGCAAGGGGCAGTGGTTTTGAGCAGTGTCTTGATTAAGAGCATGCACTCTGAAGCTGAGATACCTGGGCTCAAGTTCTAACTCTGCCACTTACTGTGTGGCCTTGGGTCAGTTACTTAACCTCTCTGTGCCCCTCTCTCCTCCTCTGCAAAGTGAGGATAAGAATATCTGTGGCCATGGTCACTGGCAGGATCTGGTGAGGTGATGGTACTGTCTGCAAGGTGGGGGAACAGTGCCTGGCAGTAATTAGTGTTCTGTGGACATCAGTGGCTCTCCGCTAAGGAAGCTTGCAGCCTTGTTAGGGAGGGAGCCAGAAATTAAATTCCAAGGCTGCACGTTAGGTGTGCCTAAAGCACAGCCTGTAAGGTCTGCTGGGGAGGGAATGACCACTGGGGCTGGAGTGGTCGGGAAGGCTTCCAGAAGGAGGAGGACAGGAGGGGCTGGCCCGGTCTCTCCCCGGGACTGCAGGCTTCCTGCTGCCCTTAGTACATGGCTGATGAGCTCTTCAGCATCACCCACAGGAGCAAACGTTAATTGAGCGCCTACTGCATGCAAGCTGCTGGAAGAGACCCTGAGACATCTAGCACCTCTCCCCCTTCCTCTGGATGTAGGCAGGGCGTCTAAGAACAATGGGAGAGGCAGCAAGGCCTCAGTCTTCTCCTCTGTGGTCTCCACAGCCTGCTCCTTCCTTCAGGTGACCCCCTCCCAGACCGGCCACCAAGCATCCCCCTGCCCAGTCCACACATCACGCTCCACCTGTGGACCGACGAGGAGCAGCTCTGTAAGTGCCACACCTTTGACCTCTGTGGGAGCTGGCTGGAGACAGTGGCATAGGGTGTGTCTGTGTGTGTCTCTGTGCATCGTGTTGTGTGTATGTAGGTGTGCTTGTGTGTCTGTGTGTCTATGTGTCTCTGTGTCTTTGTGTCCATGTGTCTGTGTGTGTGTGTCTGTGTATATCTGCATGTTTGTATATGTATCTATTGTGTCTGGGTGTGTGTGTGTATTCTGTGTGACTATGTACCTTATATCTATTGTGTATGTCGATGTCTGTGTCTGTGTATGTCTTTGTTGTGCATCTGTCTGTGTGTAGGTGTATCTGTGTGTGTCTGTATGTGCCTGTGTGTCTGTCTGTGTGTACATCCGTGTTTGTCTCTGTGTGCTGAGCTGTTCTGCATTTTCTTTATGTCAGAAGAGCTCAGTGCATTAGTCACTGGCCTCATATGTCTAGAAAGTACCACACGCGCATGATGATGCCAACAGACAATGCAGGTCCCCAAGAAAGGGGCAGTCACAAAAGAAGTTATGGTTCCTGGAGCTGGAGGGGGCCTTCCATAAAGACCCGCTCAGCCAGCACTCTCCCCCTCCACACTGTGTCCCCTCCCACTGCCCTAGCTCTTGCCAAGGGAGAGGGGAAGACACAGGCTCAGGCGTAGTGAGCAGTGCTGGACTGGTGAACCGGGTCAAGTCCTAGCACTTCCTTTCACATGCTGGGTCACCCCAGACAGACTCAGTTTTCTCTCGGGGCCTCAGTTTTCTCATGGGAAATAAAATGAAGGTAGGTTAGAAAAGCCTGAAATCTTTCCAGGAGCTGCTGGTCTTTCTCTGTGTCTCAGGGGAAGCTTCAGGAAGTGGGAGAGCGGGAGGATGCTAATGAGCAAATGTGAAAAAGAGGGCTCTAGAGTCCAGGTACTGGGTGAAGCTGATTTCTTTACTGCAGGACTTGTCAGAGCCTTTGAGATGTACACTAATGAAACTCAATCAGAGGTGGCAGGCCAGTGGGGTTCTCAGTCTGTTGGCCACAGAACCTCTGTTCCTTCGTGGAGCATCTTGTGGGGCTTCTGCCCAGCTAAACAGTGTCTGAGAAACAGAACCCCAGGCCTTGCCAGGGTGAGGCCCTGCCAGCCTCACACTCCCTCTCCGCCCCAACGGTCCCCTGTTCTCCACATCACAGGGAAGGAACTGGTGCTCTTCCTGTACCCGAAATCCCAAGCACACCTCAGCGCTGACTTGGAGGCCTTGGATCTGCAGGGCCTCCTGCAGGACCGGGAGCAAGCCCGGGTGTCCGTGCTGTCCACTGACAGTGGCATTGAGCGGGACCTTCCTTCGGGATCCGACGAGCTGCCCATACCCAGCAGCCCTGAGACGGAGCACGCCAGGCTGCAGCGCAAAGGGGGAATGAAGAAGCGCGTGTGGCCCCCGGACATCAGCAACTGGGACGGGCCCCCGGGGCTTCACCGGAGCACAGGCAGGCCCAGTGGGGATGGAGAACTGCTACCCGGTGTCTCCCGGCTGCACACGGCCCGGGTGCTGGTGCTGGGGGACGACAGGATGCTGGGGCGCCTGGCCCGGGCCTACCACAACCTCAGGTAGGGCCTCAGAGGCGTGGCTGGGGGCAGGGCGTGTGTTGGTGGCGGATCAAGGAGTGGTTAAGGAGGGTCAGGGGCACAGGGTGGAGGAAGATGGTGTAAGGTGCACCCATTATATAGATGAGAAGACAGAGGCTCAGAGAGATTAGGTAAATTGCCCAAGGTCAAGAGATAATAAAGAGCAGAGCCAGAATGTGGAACCAACTTTGTCTGAAGCACAAACCCCGCCCTCACCCCTGTGCCCTGTGCTCTGTTGACCCCTTGCCAGGAAACAAGAGACGAAGACATTCTGCCTCACTCCCAGACTCAGCCTGCAGCTCTACTACATCCCTGTGCTGACACCAGAGGTGGCTGGTCAGGGAGGGCGGGCACGGGGAAGGGGGCGGGGGTGCCCGGAGCTGGCGTCTGGGTTAGGGGCTGGGCAGGGACACACCGGAGCCTTGCAGCCCTGGTCCAGGAACTAGGATCCCCCCTTCCTCGGGATGCGCCGCCGGGAGAGGCCTCAGAGGTCTTCTGCTCCAGAAGCCACGGACAGGGCCCCGCGGGCTGGGTGTGGCCAGAGAGACGCTCTCTCCCAGGGGCGCCCTGCCCTTTGCTGGGTTTCCTTTTGCTTTTCTGATGGAACTAATGGTAGGCTCCTCCTCAGACGGTGGCGCACATANAGAGGTCTTCTGCTCCAGAAGCCACGGACAGGGCCCCGCGGGCTGGGTGTGGCCAGAGAGACGCTCTCTCCCAGGGGCGCCCTGCCCTTTGCTGGGTTTCCTTTTGCTTTTCTGATGGAACTAATGGCAAGCTCCTCCTCAGACGGTGGCGCACATACGCGCACACACACTTGCTGGCAATTCAGGCAGTCGCAGCCCATCGACCTCCTGGGGGAGAGGAAGCCCCACTCGAGGGTTTTGGTTTCTGTTGCCCACTCTGCTTCTTACTGGGAAGCATTACGTTCAGAGCAACACTCGTCTCTCTCCTTTAAGGCTGGTGGTCATTTCTCAGTGTCCCCGGCAGCGGCCCTCAGAGAAGGGTGTTCCAGCTTCATCTGAGGCATGGAACAGAACAGTCTACATGGTGCAGAAATGTCCCGAGAGGTTAAGTGATCTGACCACATTCCCAAAGCTGGTTTGCCCAGGACGGTACCTGGGGACCCTCTGGCTGGAAGAGAGTGTCCGAGACAAGGCCCGACGCGTCGGCCTCGTTTTGTCCTCAGAAGCCCCCATCGTCCAGGCACTTGGAGTTCGGAGAGCTGGCCGCGTTCCTGGGCCGCGCAGACCCGTGGTACGAGAGCACCGTCAACACCCTGTGCCCGGCCATCCAGAAGCTGGCAGAGATGGTAGGGGCAGTGAGGGGAGGCGGGAGGGAGGGAGGCG